CCCCCCCCCCGGTGGCCGATCAGCCAGCGAGCCTATCAGGCGAGGTGTGCCTTCCTGGGCACCCGGCTGGCATTTGAACAGACATACCTTGGGACCCTGCAAGGGATGACGAAGAGCTGCGGAGGTGTTTGCAAAGGACGTGGCTGGGAAGAGCGGGAAGGTGAAGAGTGAGGTGGGGGCAGCGCCTGGCAAGGAATGGGTTGTGCCTCGGGGGAGCTGGGAAGGCTTTAAGCTGAATCCCGTAGCGGAGGGAGAGGAGAGCCGGGAGAGTGGCAGGACACCAAGTCTGGGGCTGCGCTTTGAAGGTGGGTCAGGTGTGGAGGTGCCCAGGAACGAGCGTGTAAATACAGGAAGGGAATGGTTGCGTGTCCCAGCTACTCAAGTCTCTCTGTACGAGTGCACAGAGTATCCAACAGGTATGTAGACCTTTGAGTATATGGGTCAAGTCAAGAGCATTGGGATAAGAAAACGAGAGAGGGAAATCCAGAAGGATCCTGTTCTGGAAGTGGTTTAGACTGCCAAGTCCTGCAGAAGATCTGGAAAAATACTGTCCTGGAGCAGATTACAGACCTTTCGGACAGGAAAGACGTAAGAAAGAACAGGAGACTTTAGCAGCCCAGACATCTGTTGGAAAACCCACTCGGCCAAGCCTGTAAGGTCCCAAAAATTCCTCAGAAGACATGCCAACGGTTTCATTTTTCAGAAAGCTGAAGAGGAAAAAGCAAAAACCCATGATCCCGCATCCTTGGCACCGATGCTCGGTTGAAACACCTCCAGCAAAGGAGAGTCCACCCACTCCCAGTGAAGTTTGTTCCCTTGCTGAACAGGAAAGCTTTCCTGAAGCCCAAACGAAACCTTCAGCCTCCTAATTTAAGCCCTTGACCTGCCTTCTGCAAGGACACTAAGCCACTCTGCCCCATGTTCTATGGGGCAGCCCTTCAGAGGCTCAAACGCAGTGGTCACCTCTTCATGGCAGTCTTCCCTTCTCCAGGCTGAACATCTCCAAGGCCTTCAGCTGCTCCCCTTTTTTTCTTCCAGGCCCTCATCATCTTGGTTGCTCTCCTCTGAACAAGCTCCAGTTTGTCCATGTCCCTCCTCCGAGGTGGGGCTAGAAGCTCAGTCAACGAATATGGAGCGAGGCTACGGGACCTAGAGATCAGAAAAGATTTGCATACCTTCCTGAAAAAAGGGAGGTGTAAGACGATGTTCAAGTTACCGAGCCATCGTTCTGATTCTAAGATCTTATAAAAACAGAGCCGTACAGGGAGAGAAAAGGGCCGCACAAGCAGGCAGGTTTCAGAACAGACAGCAGGGCGTGAAATCAGATAGCAAATGTAGGGCAGGTCATGTACAGTGCAAGGAAAATTTAAAATGTTCTTTATTCACTACATCATGCCAAATTCAGGCAAATGGGAGCATCCCAACACCTGATCATTTTTTGAGGAACTCTTCCCCTGCACAAGTTTTTACTATAAGAACTGAGTCTGGAGAAGTGAAGTGATTTAGAGTAGCATAGAGAACACACACTGACCCCACATCTGCTTAACTGCAGAGCATATACCCTAAGAATGGCAGAAGGACCTCAGAATCCTCAGGTTGGAAGGTCTCCTGGTCCAACCTGCTGCCCAGGGCAGGAACCCTCAGACCAGTGATTCTCCACCTTGGCAGCTTCAAGGTGCGTGGGCTTCAACTCCCAGAACTCAGGCCGGCTGGGGAAGTCTGGGAGTTGAGGTCCACACATCTCAAAGTTGCCAAGGTTGAGAAACACTGCCTTAGACCACCCTGGGGAAAAGCTTGTTCTGAACACCTCCGGGTGGAGTCCACAGTGGCTCTTCCACGGCTTCACAGCTGGAACCGAACGGAAAGGCCAAATGTGAGACGTGCACCGCTGCATGACCCAGAAGTAAAGCTGAAAAGAGCCCTTAAAGGAAGGAAGAAGGCTGGCTTGCTCCTGAGAGGACAGCAAGCAGGAACTCGCACACTTCGGGTGGGGGGTGCAGACGGATGAAGGACGACGCAAAGCGCCTCTGTCGGCCAAGACCAGGGCAAGTCAAGAAGGGAGGACCAAGGATAAGGAGAAAGGAAGAATCCAGGAAGGGCGGGAGGCGGGCCACGAGGGGGTGACCTGGGGCTCGGCTCGCTGGCAGCACACTTCAGCAACCCAAAGCCACTTCTGCTTGGCCCGAGGGTGCAAAAGCTGGAGTGCTGGAAGAAAAGAGCGGCACGGCTTAGAGAAGGGCAAGAAAGGGCACTCCAGCACACCACTCTTCAGTACTTGTAATGCCACGTTTACTCCAGAAGCCACCGGAAGAGGCCAGAGAGGGCAGAAGCCCGTTCCCAAGGAATCCAGACCCGATCCCTGCGGGGCAAGCCAGCCTTCGAACAGTGGCCGCTGGTCTTCCACGTAAATTACGCTCTGCCGCTCGTTCCAGGAAAACCTCGGCCTTTTGGAGAACGGTCAGGCAGGCCGCCTCAGAGGCAGGAAACCAACCGGAGGTTCCGTCGTGCAGGACTGAGGGTGTGCGATGCTGTAAGATGTGCATCGCTCACGGAGCCATGTTCTGTTCTCCATTCTAGGCAAACATTTCTCAGCAAATGGATCTACAGACCCAGTTTTTTCTTCAGGAAGACCACCAGTGTCCTCCATCAAGGCTTTTTAGTGCAATAAAACTCCAAGACCCTTTTGAAAATGCCCATTTTGCTGGGAATTCCTTTCATTTGCACCCTTTCTCCGCAGCAGTGTGTGAGAGGGGAATTTGGTTGGTTTGGGTGCCCCACAAGGAGGCATTCGGGTGGCTTGGCTCATTTTTCGTTGCCGTTTCAAGCTCTTCCACCCTGTTCCAGATGGCATCAGGGGAACAGAGGGGTTTGGGGAAGTATAATATTGAACGGAGGCAGTTCTTCCACGTTCTCCTCTAACCCACCCCGCTGTTGACAGGACCCTTTTTATTGGGAAAGGGTCTGCTCTGGCCCACTCTGCCCCTGCGCAGTTCAGAGATGGCTACTTCTCCTGAAAGGGACAAAGCAAAGTAGGCCCTTGTCCAGAGGGGGCTGACCCTGC